ATTTACCGACCTTTCCTTGTCATTAACACAAATCCTAGACTCCGCAAGTTTATAACTAGGTCAGTGTAGAAAATGCATATTCATGGCATGTGTAATTAGATTCTTAAAGTGAACTATAAATATATACCATTGTTAAATAATGGCATTTTCGAAAGGCAGAGAACGTTTTTTAGCTTAGTTTTTTTCCATTTTCTCAATCCAATCACACCGTGCCATTTTGGAATATTCATTTGTCACTATAGAAATTATAGAACTGATTTTTGAGATTTTATCCCGGCTCTAGAATTGGCACTGTATACAGGTGTGTATTTTTGCTCAATTTAGATAGAAAAAGAAATAACTTTAAAAAAAATAATAATAAAAAGATGAAACTTATGAAATAGGATATTAGCTATAGTATACACTTACTACATGCATTCTGCAGATGATTGAGAAAGCATTAAGACTTATGTATGAAATAAAAAAGTAATGTTTAGTTTTCCCTGCTCGTAAAAAAAAAAAACACACAAAAAAAAACAAACCACAAAACAAACACTTTGTTGTAGATATTATGGTGCTGTTAGATGCATCTTTCCTACCAATAAGAATGGTATTTTAAGTAGAAACCATTTTCTTAATCTTTCCTAAAATAGCTTTACGGATATAAACGATTACATCATAAATCTAGTTTATTATTATTTTGGGTAATAGATGTGATAAAAAAAGAAAAATGTAAAAAAAAAAAGGCATTTGTGCTTTTTAATAATCTTGGTGTGTTGTTTGGGTGATGAGTGACTTTTAGTACCATAATCTTGAAATTAGAAAATGATTTGCTTTTAGATGTATAAATGAAAGAGCAGCTAATATTCTTTTATATTTAAAAAAAATAAAAATCTATTACAGCAATATATTGATTACACTGTATATTGTGACACTTAACACGTACACGTCTGATGTTCGTTAAAGCATGTGCTTTTTAAATCTCCATTCGCATGTCTTTGGGTTTTGTTGTTTTTTTTTGGTCCCTTTGTTTAATAGAAGGGTTAGGCAAGTGAGCAAAGGTTTGAGAAACCCATCTGAGGGCAGATGTTTAGGAAACATGACAATATGTTGATTCTTTGAAGGTATAGTTAAAAGAAATCTAACATTTTCATTTACAGTCAGCTCAGAATGTACATTTCAAAAGAATTATAAAAGCACTGTGGAAATGGACGCAGTGGTTCCGTAATCTTAATCCTGCAATGTAAAAAAAAAAAGGTAGAAACTGCAACGTTTACATTGCCGGGTTAAATCCGCCTCTAGTGGCTGCTTTGTGTCTGCCACTGGAGTCGCCTTCTGCTTCAGGACAAGTGAAACTCACTCTGGGAACCAAATGCTGCTTATAGCAACATTTAATAAGAGAATCACAGTGTTTGGACGCACCTCCAATTCACAATAAATTGGATGAAATCGCGAATACGAACTCAGAAATACTGATGACTTTATTGGCTGAGGCGGGGGGCTTTTCTCCCCCAGTATTATCCAAACGTTCACAGCCTAGTGCAGTGATAGGCGATTACACAAGTTGTTATGGGCTAAAATTCCCATAATCCAGTTGGTTTTTATGGCCATAGTGGGATTTATGGGATACACAGCCTGTGTAGAACACATTTTGCTCTGAGCGGGTCAGCAATAGTAAGTTATTACTCTATAAATATCTAAACTGTTAGACCCTTTGTAGCCAATATTACATTAATTTTTTGCTATCTAAAATAATATACATACCCGCCAGCGACTGCTTCCAGTAGAAAATATTATAGAAGTTAATCTGAATTATTACAATTATGGGTTTTATCGATCTTGTAATTGCCAGATTCTCACCTTTTTAGCTTGCGCTATATATTGTATAACAAACCAAATGTATACATTTACAATTAACGTCCCTCCGACTTGTCATTGCTCTTTGTTACTGTCCTTCGTAGTGTGAGAGGGTAGTTGTTATCTCAGTATAAATATATATATTTCACCTCTATCAGGAGGCGAAGCCTTTAACCCATCGTATGCCTTATAGCCGTTCAAACATCTTTAGTAAATTAGCAAGAATTTTTTTTTGCAGGTATTTTTAGAGACATGGGTTAGTCCTTTCTCTATAAGAATGGACCTGTGATACTGTACAGTTTGCTGAATTTAAGAGCAGCTATATATTTGGGAATTGTCACTTTGCATTGAAAGAGTAAAGATATTTATTTTTCCCTTTTTTTAAAGGCACAGTATCACTGAATCCTTTCACTACCAAACGGCAGTTTGTACTCTTCCCTAGTGGCAAGTGTTGATTAATTGGCTTTTCGGTTATAAATGGAGTGTGTTAACCATTAGTGAGTGTGTAAGATGATTTGTGGATATAAGACAGTGGTGTACAGATACATGATCTCTGTATGGCTGTGAGTTTTTCTTCAGATATTATGATTTTATTTTATTTTTGGAGGATGCCTGTTATATTGTAACTTGTCTTTGACTTGAAGAAAAAAAAAATATTTAAAATGATAAAATGCAATAAATAAAATAAAAAAACCACTAAAAACATGATTTTGTCTGTTTCTGTCATTTGGGAAAAAATGCAATCTTATGGATTAATAGTATGAATTTTTGAGAAAACTAAACTCCCTGACATGTAATTTTACTTTAAATGTTGTAGAGTTGCTAGGGAAATGGTCAACACAGCTTACACCTTGGTGTAAATGCTATAAGCACTAGGGCAGTGGTTCCAAACCTTTTTTCTCTTGAGTACCCATTGGCAGCCAATTACCATAAATTGTACCACTTATATCAGCAAAATATTTGTAATTATTATAGTTGCTGTCATTTCAAATGTAATGCTTTTCTCAGTTCCAGGCTCCCCACAGTGCAAATACACAAACACACAGACTGATACACGTGCAGATACAAACACTGACATAAATACAAATAATATGACACACTCATACAGATACACACACTGACACATGCAGATACAAGCACTGAGATACACATGCAAATGGAGACACACACACAGTTGCATGACACACATGCACAGACACACAGAGAAAACACTGATATGTACAGATACAGGCACACAAATGTACAGACAGGCACAAACACTTATCAGACACACGGATACAAACAATGACACTCATACAGATACACCGACACAGATACAAGCACTGAGATACATATGCAAATGGACACACACACAGTTGCATGACACACAGAGAAGACACATACATATAGACACAGACTGACACACACACATATGTACAGACCGGCACAAACCCTTCTACACATACAGTTGCACAGACACACTGATACACATACTGACATTCATATAGTTGCAAAGACATACTTATACAAACACTACCATATATAGAAATGTACAGACACACAGGTACAAACACGCAGATACATACAGCTGTACAGAAACAAATACACACTGCCACACATGCAGATATATAGACACACAGATACAAATCATTGACACACATACAGATACATAGATATACACACTAACATGCATATAGATACAATGACCCACACATATACCAGGGCCAGCCCAAGACACTTTTCAGCCCGGGTCCCCAAAGACAACGCCACCAAAACACTCCCACATTCATTATATTTATTCTGATAATCAAAGCCAAAATAAAATATCATGATTAGATAAATACATTCCAGTAACATATTTAGTTAAATGCAAACTAAATTAAACGTCACAACATAAACAAGGTTTACGTTTATGTAGGCCGCAAAAAAAACCCCAAAACTTCAGTTTTCATAGAAACGTAGGTTTGTTTAGAAAAGTACAGTAAAAAAAAAAAAAGTTGCCTGACACTGGACGTCCTCACGCTCGTAGGGCTTCAAAGTAAACAAAAGAACGAATTTATTTTAAGAAATGTATTTGCATATAAACAACGTTTCAGTCCAACTACCTTGACATATTAAGAAAAGTTTGGTAATGCGACTGTAATGGTGAATGTATGCTGTTGCACAGCTGTAAAAAACAAATTATCTTGTTGATTTTGTTCTATGAGTGTGTTCTTCACTTTGGCTGACTTGATGATCTCAGCCAATCCAATGGTTTCCCATAGGAAAGCATTAGGAGGCTATTGTGCATGTGTGGCAAAAAGCTGCGTGGCCAATCAGCATCTCCATGGGGAGCATTCAGCGCCTCCGTGCAGACCCAATCTAATACACTGCCCACAAATCCAATGCATTGCCCCCAAATCTAACACACTGCCCCTCCTCCCTCCACACTAATTGAATAGACTGCCCCCACTCTACTAATACACTGGCCCCCTCCCTCAAATAAATACACTGACCCTTTTCCCCAATTTAATACAATGGCCCCCTCTCTCTCAAATTAATACACTCCCCTTCCCACCAATTTAACACACTGACCCCAACCACCACTCTGCACTACACTGCCCTCCCCCCAATTTAACAAACTAGTCCCCTCCCACCCTCAAATTAATACTGCCCTCCCTCAAATGAATACACTGCCCCCTTCTCCCCCAAGCCCCTCTTCTCCTACCTTACAACTTGCTGTCTGTCCTCCAGTTCCAGCCCTGCTGAAGCATGCCAGAGGCTGCTCTGGCACTGCGAGCAGCCACTCTGCCCTCTTGTGGCCGGGAGAGCAAGAATCAGGAAATATCTTTCCTGTCTTGCTGGTCGCAGCCACAGCTGAAAGCGGCCCCAAGGCAGGTGGGCCGCATGTTTGACATGCTTGTCCTAGCTGCAGTGAAGTCTAAATTGACTCCTTGCAGCTCTGCTCCTCTTGTCTACACCATTGCTGGCTCAATCAGACTCCTGCATGTCCCAGCCCTGACAGATGCACATACTGACAGGCATACAGATGTACATACTGAAATACACAACTCTTAGAATCACAGACTTACAGATATGCACACTGACAGATACACAGATCCACGCACAGACCTACAGATATGCACATTGACACACACAGATACACAAGATACAAACACTACATACATACCGACACCTAAAACAAAAATACATATACCTTTTGGATGGCTTCTGTGGCTGAGGCTGTTGGGAGTTAAGGTCCCGGTCCTGTCCGCCCCCGTTTGTGACCCCCTCCCGCGCAGCTTGGTTACAGCTGGCAGGAAGTGTGCAGCTTGCACTCACTTCCTCCCCGGTCAGGTTAGAAGGGGCCTGGTCGTGCTATTAAAGCGCTGCAGCGCACTACCGGGCCCCTCATGGCACATGTCCATTGGGTGGCCCTGAGTGCATGGGCCACCCAATGCACCCGCTCACCTTGCCGTCCCTAGCCCGTGCAGGGCGGTTGCACCACTGCCAATACCTGGGTTTTTTTTATGCATACCTCCTTGGGCACTGAATTGTACCCTTGGGGTTACGCGTACCACGGGTTAAGAACCGCTGCATTAGGGGATTGACGGGCCCTAAACATTTTATTACTTTTAAGTCTAAGATTTTATTAAGATACGTTTTTTGGTATCATCTAGAGGCTGTTTTTGTCTCGTAAGTCCATTCCTGATGTGTTTCTCAGCCTCCAAGGAATAAAACATTAAAACAGATACGTGATGTGGCGTTAAAGTGTACACCAACCACCATGACCACTTCAGTTATTTGAAGTGGTTATGGTGGTAGTAGTATGTATGTGCAGTGCTTATGCTTGAAATTTGCACATATGGAGAGATCTGTAATTGTGTGCTGGGGCTAGTTGCACTACCAGCACCCATGACATGGGCAGCGCAGACCTCTGTTCCACACTGCCGTATGTCAATTCTGTGCATTAATTACATCTGAAGTCGGCACGCACTGCACACTGACATTAAAATCTTTCCCTCCCTCCCTGTGAGTGCTCCCTCTGTGCAACATTCTTTATTCAAAAAAAAAAAATTCCCTCCTCTCTGTGTTCCCTGAGCTCAATCCCAATGATGTCAGAAGGTGGCGCAGAAGAGTAGCCCCAGGAAGTTCACCCAGTGCTGGATTCCAGGTGAGAAAAACAAGCTTTCGTTTCAGGCTTTATTAGGAATTGAAAGAACTATATGCGATTAAAGTAGGGAAAGGTCTCCCCTTTAAAATCATTCTAATAATCCTTTAAAATAAAGCCAGAACCATCCACCACCACCTGCAGAAAGAATTTAGGGTTTACTTGCTAAACCAGGAATTAAAGAGAACGGATAGGGGACTTGCATATTGTAGGCCACAATAGTCAAACTGGGAAAAATAAGCTGACATTTTTTTTGCCCCCAATTCTGCTATTTTTTTGTATTTTTGTTGTGCATAACATACAAGCTTGGAGTGCCAATAGCAGTCCTCCAGCATGTTTTCATGTATAGTAGCAGGAGCATTAGGAAAAATAGGCACATTGTTTACGTATAATAACAGTAGCATAGTATCGGTAGTAGGTTCAATCAAGAGGTTAAGCGTTTCACTGTCGGTTGATTAAATTCTGCTATTTTGCCCCAATTTGTGCAATACGATTATTGATTTTTCACAAATCCCACTTGGATGAAAAAAGCCAATACGGCTTATGAAGCAAGAACTACTGCAGTGATTGGGCTATACAGGTAGACACGTGATAGCTCAGTGGATGCATCATCAGTAGACGCTTTTCAACCTTTGGGGGTTGCAGGTTCAAATCCTTTCATCCTTTGCAATTTACATCCCCAGGGTGTACTTGGAAACCAAAGAATCTCAGAATGTACCTTTCCTGGTTAAATACCGTATTTACTCGAATCTAATGCGCAATTCTTTTTGGAAAATAAAGTTTCCAAAATTTGAATGCGCATTACATTTGGGGCAAAATTAGAATTTTTCTGGCAAATTGCACTGCAGCAAATTCACACATGCAAGGGGTTAAAACCCCTTCAGCAACTTACCTTAATCCAGCACCAGGCTCCCTCGGCGCTGATGACCTCTCCTCCCCGTCTGACGTCACTGAAGCCAAATGCGCATGCGCGGCAAGTTCTGTGCGCGCTTTCAAAGTGTCCATAGGAAAGCATTTCTCAATGCTTTCCTATGGATGCTCTGTGCGATGGAGGCGAAATTCGCCTCCAGCGTTGCAGATGCGCCTCTAGTGGCTGTCCGGAAGACAGCCACTAGAAGCCGGCTTTACCCCAAATGTAAACATAAGTTTCTCTGAAACTGTTATGTTTACATGTGAAGGGTTAAAACCTGAGGGACCTGGCACCCAGACCACTTCATTGAGCTGAAGTGGTCTGGGTGACTATAGTGTCCCTTTAAGAAAGAATAGACTTAACATGTAACACTAAAATTGAAATACCATCAATGTTACTATGGTATATGGTAATGAACATTTTCATTGTAACACAATGTTGTACAGTAGTATTATATAAATGCGCATTACATTCACCAGCAAAAACTTTTTTCAGCTTCCAGGTTTAAAAAATTGAAGTGCGCATTAGATTAGAGTAAATACGGTAGTTTATTATTTATAAGCAATACTACTGTGTAAAACATAACTTACTGCAGTAGTATGTTCCAAGTTACATGAACCTATTTTGAGTTTAACCGGACTACTTCTAAAGCCGTGTTTAACCCTTGGATCACCATGCTATTTTAGTGGATCCACAATGGTTGAAGCAGGCACATCATACTGATTAAACTCCAGACACTGGACTAAATAACGCAAAACTATAACCAACAGAGTTTCACTTGACGCCAAGAAACAATACGCCAACGTCCAATAGAAAAAAAAAAAAAGACATTTATTTTAAAACATCCATATATTTGTTACAAACATTGTGTCCACTGGTCCAATTCTACAACAAATTAACCATATGATTGTTAAAAATATTTACAACATTTAAATCTCCTGGCTGCTGCCTTAGTAAAGTCTTTGCTTTATAAATACAGTACTTTAACAACACAAAATAAGTGGAGTCTGTATAGCTCATGATTCTCATCAAAAAGAAGGTGTGGGATACTTGTGTATAAATATATATATATTCAATATTTTGCCTAGCTATTCTATGACATGTCTGAATACATTGAGGCAAAGTATGAAAACAAAGACTACTGAAACCGAAATATGGTCATTTAAAGTTAAGGGTTCAATTTTCAAAATCTATTTTACATTATTATTTCACACTTTGCCAGGAAGCCTTCACACATCATAGAAAATGCCCGGACACTGTGCACAATACCCGATTTCAAACTTTGCTTCTAACTTATACAAAACGTGATTATTTTTACGAAAGGTGAATTTAGTGTAGGACACTTCAATTTTAATTCTTTTGTACTTTTTCACTGTAGTTGCAAACAGTTGAGAAGAAACAAAACAATAACATTTCTAAAAATTACTTCACATTATTAAAATTTAAAAAAGAAAAATGGTGCACTTTCTGTCCTGTTTCTGAGAATGGAGTATACAGTCTGCTTTGAAAAGAAATGACAAAATAAGACAGGTGCTAATTTAAACCTCATCAGCCGGGCACTGCCAGCCCAAGGACAGACAACGAGGCAGTTGTATTTACAATCACTGCCTATCCTGCTCTAAATCTTGTAATTGCCCCTGTGGTAGGACCCTTTGAGACAGACAGAGGGTTACCAACACAATACAATGATTTTCTTTAACTAAAAGTTTTAACGAGTCAATCATCAATATGAAAGAAAAAAAAAAAAAAAAAGAAAAGTTGAATAATTATTATTATTTGTTTAAATTAGGACTTCTTCACAGGAACAAAAAAAAATAATGTACATCCATTTCAGCCTCCCATTGATAAAAAAATAGAAATCTATCACAGCGCACACACATATACAGATCTTTCACAGCAGGGAAGTCTGCAACAACAGCTGGTTGATGGATTGGACAACCCTGGTTCAGAAGGTACGGAAAAAAATAATTCTACTTGGATTTCCTCCGCTTGGCCTGTGTAGGGCTGGCTCCAGATTCTGTAAGGAAAGCAGAAACGTATTAAACTATAGAGATAATTTTTTTTAGTGCAAAGCAATGCAAACGTGAACCTAGAGGTTGTATAAAAAAGGACTATTAGCAAACCATAGCACACAGTCCCTAATTTTATTTACGTTTTAAAAGATCTGATTTCACAACTGACTTATGTAGAGACATAGACAAGACACATAGAGGACAACTAAAGTCACCAAGACCACTTCCTCTCAATCAAGTAGAGTCTGAGTGCAGAGGACCTGTAGTTTGAACCCTGCAATGTACTTATATTGCAGAGTTAAATTACCTCTAGTGGCGGTCTTCCTGATGGCCACTACAGGCACTTCCTCCTCCAGAACAGAGTAACAATCGATCCTGCAATCAAATGCTGCATTTGGTTGCAAGTGCCTTTCTCCAATCCAATGCCATTCTAGGAGAAGTACTGGATTGGAAGACTTCAAGGAAGATGGAAACAAGATTAAGAAATCTTTATTAAACTTTTTTTTTTTTTTAAATCATCAATGGTGGGGTGGACAGTGCTGACCGCAATAGAAGAGAACCTTTAGTACCAAAAAACACCATTGTTATTTTCGGGACTAGAGGTTCCCTGTAATAAGCAGTCAACTAGAACAAATGTATATAGACTGTGTTTTTTCCAAGAAACCTGAGGCAGTCCTAGACTTACAATAACCATAAGTGGCCTGCAAATACACTTAGAGTAAATAAGTTGTAAGGCCTGGACCTGCAACAATATTCTGTTATCTTAAATGTCACCAAAATAACTTTAGCTTAATGAAACAGTTTTGGTATATAGATCATGCCCCTGCAGTCTCATTGGTCAATTATCTGCCATTTAGCACAGCGGGCCTAAGCTCATGGCCAAGTGGCATCTGCAGTGGAGATAGTAAGTGGTGCCTGGCAGACCCAAGTAAGTATTACACTGGGGCACCAGAGCACTGTTGGCACCATAACCACTACATCACACTGTAGTGGTTATGGTGCTTGGAATGTTTCTTAATCTATTCAATTTTTATTCTTCAAAAATTCCAATAAATTTTAACATTACAAAAAGATTACGTTTTATAACTTTCCCACAAATAAAAATAAAATTATGTAATTTGAGTTGAGTGTAAAATTACATACAATGCACATTCCTAGAATAAAATAAACACTCACCTTTTGCAGAGCTAGAAGCTGAACCAGGTCGAGCGGAGCGTTTACGCTGGCCACTTTCTAATGCTTCTGGAGGTGCAGTAGACTCCTCTATTTTAGAATTCCTTCTGCTTGGGGGCCTGGACCTCTCTGCTATTTCGCTGGAAAAAACAATGACATTTACAGATCAGATAAGATATCCTTACATCATTTTTTTTTATTCCAATGCCAGGGTTTTTAAATAAAGTCACAATTTTCATGAATTAAATCCAAATGGCAAAACAGAAGCACAAACAGCCAAATTGTGACTATGGCAGAGTTGCAGAAGTTCTTCCGACCACCTAAATTTGCCTCAGATTTTCCATTCAGATTTAATTGGCAAAAAAATTTAATTAAAATAAAAACAATTCACATTTTAATAAATAAGCCTGGGAATTGTGTGCTGTATGACATATACGAAAATCAGCCATTCAAGAGACACCAATATTGCATTGGTTCAAAATGCACATATTTAGGATCTACATTTCACACAAGTCTCTATGTTAGCTGAGTATCATAAAAACCATTGTGCAAAATAATGTAAAGATGACGCTCGTGCACAGTTCCACTAGCTACCAGCCAGATAAAGGGTCTAACAGCCAAGATGAACGAGAAAAGGTTTGGCTAAGTATGCCTTCACAAACGCCTATATAGGCATTGGATTGCAACACAAATGCTGTGGTTAATTTGGTATGTGGGGGCAAAAATATATTACCCCTTGTAATGCTACTCCCTCCGATACTGAACTGACAGAATAGATAGCTTAACTCCTTACCTTTCTACGTTCTCTAGCGAGTCAGGGTCTGAAAGAAAAAAAAATATTGAAAATGAGCAGTGAATGGATAAAGGGCACATAAATCCAAGAGCAGATGAAAGAAATGACAGGTGCAAAGTAAGAAATAAAGAGGGAGTAGGGAGTTTGTACCTGTTTTTTCTGGGGCACGGTCCTTGCCGGTCGGTAATCTTTCCTCCTGAGTGCTGCACTGGGAAGAAACTTTAAAAAACAGAAGACAATATTGAAAGGCTTTTACAAAACAAACAAACAAAAAAAACATAAATAAGTCCAAGAGTTTAAACGACGCACTCTACTTATAGCAACATGACCTTCTTGACAAATTATAAAAAGACAGAACCAAAGTCATTTAAAAGGACAGAAACAAGAAATTTTGTACAGAGGGTCAGAACATTGCAAACCACGCAGTATAAAGAAAAGAACAATTGTTCAGCAAGAAATATATCCTACTTGTTCCTGCAGGCTGTTCTGTTGGCTTCTCTTCCAGGCTGACACCAACTTGCTCAGCAACGGACACACTTGTGCTTTCTTTATTCTCTGGAGAAGAGTGAGTTACAGATGGAGATGCATTAAGATTAGCAGGAGAGCTACTTGCAGGACATGCAGGATCCAAGGACGTTACTGTGGTACTTGTAGTCTCTGAAATGGCCTGACTTGCTAGAGGAGGAGACAAACCAGTACTGCTGCCTTCTGTGCCAAAAATGTCTGAGTTCTCTTGGTCTAAAGGAAGCTGCTCTTCAGTTCCATCTGAGACCTTATTACCTGCCCTATTTAACAAACGTTGACCAATCTTGTCTACTTTGCCTGGTGCTTTGGAGGGCACTGCAGAGTTCCTCTTGTTACTAGATAAAGATCCTGGGCTACTTTCAGAAGCTGGGGATGGTGCAGGTTGTATAGATGCTGGAGACCCCTGGCCAGGAGGAGTGGACATTTGAGAATGCGTCTCATCTAAACTGCATTCTCTCCCATGCAGGGAGGCAAGAGGTGTTGGAACGGCTACTGGAGATGACGCAAGTTGATTTGCAGTTTGCACCTGATTAAAAAGGACTGGTCGAGTGGTAGATGTGCTGGAGGTATTACTGGTTGAGGAAGGATGTCCAGCAGAGAACTGAATATTCTGGGATATATGCAAGGGACCCACAACAGCAACAGACTGAGGCATTATGTTTGTATTGGGAGGCATTGTGGATGTAGTCAGGTTTCCTTGCGGAGACCCTTTCATGACTTGGATGATAGAGGAAGAATTAAAAAAAACAGGAGTGATAAATTGAGGGTGCCCACCGGACTGAACAGTCTGTTGTCCCTCAGACACAATGACCTTGCTTCTGACATTCGGCAAGGTCACCATCGTAGGCATCAATGCTGGCTGAAGGTGAGATGTCATTGAGGCAGATACATTGGCAGAAGGAGTGATTGGGTTTGATGTAACAAATACAGTTATCTGGTTTTGGGGCAGAGAGCTGGAATTTGAGATGGGACCAGCTGTTCTTTTTAACGTGTTGACAGGGAGGTTTGGGGAGATGTTGTTGGGCTCCAATGTTTCTGGTCTCCCTTGAGCTGTGACTGTCTCCATGTCTTGGGATGGATATAATGCACTAGTAACTTCCTTACCTAAGGTATCACCTAATTGTGCAGGATGTTCTGGTATTGTGTCTTCTGTAGATGTTTGCAGAGGGGGACATTCAGTGCTAGCGGCACTTGCATTTTGTGGCTGGTGGGTGCTGGACAAGTGAGGCTGGGGGGCGCTGGACAAGTGAGGCTGGGGGGCGGATGAACGAAGTGTACTGAAATTGTGAGATTGAGAGGCATTTGAATGGTCAAGTAGCTGACTCAAGGAAGTTGGAGCTTCCCGCATGGCTGGTGATATCATTTTGTTTTCTTCACCTATAGGAGGCCTACTGGCATCAGTTAAATGGGGATCGACCTTGGCTGACTCCTCAGGTGATGACATCTTCATCTCTTGGTGAACAACAGCTTTAACATCCACTGTGCCTTGTTCCTTGCCACTGGACTGAGTTGCCTGGAAATCGCTCTCATGCATTATGGGTGGGTTCTCTCTAATATCATCTGCAGAGTTGTTAGAAGCAGAAATACTGGCAGGCAGATACTGTCCAATTGAAGACCCATGAGCAGAAGCCTGCATTGATGTCTGACTGGCTAAGAGATTCCTTTGCATTTCCATGCTGTGCAGAAGTCCAACATTTTGCTGAGCTCCAAGAACCAACTTTGTAGTCTTAGAGTTCTGCCTTCCAGGGCTTGGTGTGGTTTTGCGACTGGATGCAGGGCTCGATCGCCTGCTGTTGCTTGGACTGGCTCGCTTGTTTCCCCCAGTGTTTGACTGTTTTCCTGCCCCATTATCCATCTTGTTTACATGTTGACCAAAAGTAGACTGGTTATTTACAGACAGCCCTGGAGGTACCTGTCCGATTGCTTTCAGGGTAGTTGGGTTCAAGCCTTGCTGATCAAAACCTCTGTTTAATGTGGGCCTGGGCGGTAATGGTATATTTATCTGAGGAGGGAAAAGGCCAGCAATGGAGGCATTGAGTCTTTCTGGAGACAAACTAATCTCTGAAGGCTCAGTACTAGGTGGTCGATTATTTGGAGTCTGAGGATAGTAAGGTCTTGGGCTTGCTCGATTTGGTGTTTTTGGCCGGGATGTTTGTGACGTAGTCTGTATGCTTTGGAAATGGTGTCCATGAGAGCCACTCATAGCGCTGGCATGCTGCTGGGGACTTGCCCCTTGTACCAACGACATTGTAGACGGTGCGCCAGGCTTAGGGCCAGACATGACCAGCTGGTTCTGTGAAAGGAGTAAATGGGACGCAATATTGTTTTGTGCCCCTGGAGCAGAGGGAAGCTCTGGAACATCTGGGAGTAAGGCTGAGGAACCATCACCCAGGGGCGACCCAGACTGGTTCTGCCCAGCATCTGAGAAGCTTATCTTCCTTCCATTATTTCCCAAAGTCATGCTGGCTGCTATAGGCATCCTTTGCTTGTCGGGTGAAGGTGGTATAGACCCAGAACCTTGTAAGTTCACCATAACAGGCAAATTTGCTCCTTGTTGCATGGGCATCCTCTGTGCATCTGGGTTCATAGTGGATCTGGGGTTAAACATGCCTTGTTGAAGAGGAAGTCTCACAGGTTTCTGGTCTTGCTGCTGCTGCTGCTGCTGTTGCTGCTGCATCATCAACATCATCATCATTTGTTGAGGGGCAGTGGGGGGTTGAGCTTGGCCAAGTTGTCCCTGTTGTTGCCCCAGCTGCATTAGCTGAGGAGGAATCTGTTGCAGTGGTCTCTGCTCAAGTGACTGCACTGGGTAACCTGAAAATAAACAAAATGGTTTTGTTAATAATCAAGGAGCATTCATCAGCTAAACAAACTCAGAACTTCAAGAGGGGGGATTTAAATCAACATTTTACTGCATTACGCAAAATTCCATATCCTCTAAGAGGGTGCTATTTTTTTTAATAATTCAGTATAAATGAATAGAAAGCAAAATGCAGGGCTTGACAAATTTGTTTGGAATCTAGGAGCCAGCTAAAGTTATGAGCCAGTATTTATTTTTTTTTTATTTTTTTTTAAACTAGCAAAGTTTAATTTACAATGATAAATATACAATTCTTAAAGGGACACAATAATCACCAGAACCACTACAGATAAATGTAGTTGTTCTGGTGCTTATAGCCTGTCCCTGTAGCCTATTACAGAAAAAAGGCAGTTTTTACATTGCTTCCTAGTAACACCTCTAAAGACAGTCACTCAGACGGCCACTAAAGAACCCTGGGTCAGTGCTGCACCCAGTGGCGTACACATAACCCATGGGGCCCCAGTGCGAAACTGATCCACGGGCCCCTTCCTCTTCCCCCCCCCCCCAGACAGAGACACACACACCACAGACAGGCACACACACATACAGACAGGCACACGTACATACATAAAAACAGACAGGCGCACAGACAGGCACACATGCATACATAGAAAACAGACAGGCACACAGACAGGCACACATGCATACATAGAAAACAGACAGGCACACAGACAGACAAGACACATACATACAGACACACATACATAAAAACAGACAGGCACACACATACAGACAGACAGGCACACACATGCAGACAGACAGGCACACACATGCAGACAGACAGGCACACACATACAGACACAGAGACACAGACAGGCACACACAGACAGGCACACACATACAGACACTAACAGACAGGCACACATACATACACACACACACACACACGACACAGACAGGCACACAGACAGACAAGACACATACAGACAGGCAAGACACATACATACAGACACATACAAAGACAAATACATACATAAAAACAGACAGGCACAGTCACACACATACAGACACAAACAGACATACATACATACAGGCACATACATACAGAAAAACAGAGGCACGCATACATACAGACAGACACACACACACACACACAAGACATACATACAAAGACACAAAGTTCCCACTCTGACTCCCTGTTCTTCCTCCCGCACGGGCTGTGTGTGTTAGCTGGGAGGAGTGACGTGCAGTCACTTCCTCCCAGCAGTGATGATCTTATCACAGGGGGTCTTGTAGTGCTGACCCTGACAGCATGGGCCACCCGATGGACCCATTAACATGCGGCCCCGGCAGTTTGCCGCGCGGCTCAGGAACACAAGTGGTTGCTTGCACCCAGTCGCAGGGGTCTGCAGGGCGGCTGGGCCCGGTCGCAGTCGCAACCGGTATGTACGCCAGTGGCTGCACCTTTGTTCAGCGTCTTCACACTTTGCATGGAGGTGCTGAATATTACCCATAGAGAACATGCGCAATATCCTCACAATGCTTTCCTACGGGAAAGCATTGTTTTAGCTGAGATCATAAAGACTGATAATTTAATCCATGAATGCAGGATAAGCCGCGGCAAAACCGATACAGCGTGGGAAAAAGGGTGAGTAAAAACACCGGAGTGGGGTGGCAGGTATCTAAATAGGCACACACTCTCTGACAGACACACAAACACACAACATTTTTCATTTTAATCCTCTCAGCCTCCCTACCTTTGGGAAAGCTGAGTGGCTCTTTCCCCAGGGTCTAGTGGGGCTGCTCGCGAGCAGGAATCTTCCTGCAGCTACTCTCTGCTCCCTGCAGTGATGCCGGGGCCGGAGTGACGTCAAATTCTAGTTCCCAGCATCACTATACAGTGCGAGGGAGCAGAAATGAACTGCAGGAAGATCACTGCTCCCTCGCATGCTGCCCCAGCCTGCCGCCTCTACGCTCCCTGAGCTTGACCGCCCCCACGCAGCCCAGGGCGGCCGCCCAATTCCATTGTTCCCACAACCGTCCGCTTTAGCTAAAGGGCTGCAAATCCCAGGTGCCAGGGCGAAATTTCTAGTCGCCATGGCACCTGGGATTTGTCGAGCCCTGAAATAACGTATATTAGGACTAAAGTTTAAAGATAAGAAGTATGTAACAACAGCAGCACTGACAACCACTAAAATACATTTACCATGTAGATTTATCTTATGTTTGGAGTAATCACTAAACAATTTTCTATCTGCAAGCTTTATAATAACATAAAATATAAAAATAATATAAATATCACTGAATGTAGAAGGGTTTTGTTAAATTTTTCAGCCAAGCAAGATTCCTCGATTCCTTCAGCTTCTTGCAAAGCAGCCAGGGGCAGGAGGAGATTAATTTGTAATTGCTCAAAGCCTACAAAGTTTAGACAAGGACATACAGAAGAGCCAACACTTGGTCTATTGTGAGCAGAAAGCTTAAGACAATCGCAGTGTGTTCAGATTCGGTTGTTTGTGAGCACAAAACATTGATGCAATTGATGTGCATCTGTTGCACAAAAGAGGATTAAAACCACTTTGTAGTCACATTAGCCATTCTGCTGGGTGCAGAGTGAGTAACGGGAAAAGCTGAGTTTTACACACTTTCTTTTTATTACCAAAACATTCCCATGAGTACCTGTTAATCTGGCATCACCTTTTATTAAACCAGTTTCTTGCATTTAGATCAGGTCTCTACATATGGAACATTACACTGTCTGCCATTAGCCCAGCACATGTAAAATTACCAAGCAGAGACAAAGATGATTCCACTCTGTGGAAGAAGCCATCTCAAGAGTTTAAAGGAACACTCCAGGTATCATAACTCCTACCCAGCTATGATAGTGCTAAGAGCTAAGCAGGCCTGACACAAGGCTGCACTCATTGGCTGAAAGCATCAGCTGAATGTGGTCTTGCACAGCCCTGCTTACTTTAGTGGAGCTAACTGGATCCTTCTTGCAGAGCTGAGCTCGAAGGCACCAATCAAAGTAAGTTTTTAAACCATCTCTATAAGAGATAGCCAAATTATTCTGTGACAGCACAAGCAGTCTGTAATGGCTATAGTGCGTGGGTGTGTTCATTTAAAGATACACTAAGCACCAAAACAAGTTTAAAGGGACACTCAAGGCACCAATACAACTCTAGCTGAAATGTTCTGACCCCTTTAATATGCTGTGGTTTTGTTAGTTTTTTGCAGGCTCAATCTTCATAGTTGCAACAAAAAATAAAAATAAAAAAGTCAAAAATGGAGAATAAGCCAGTGGAAACAAAGCCACACAAGTAAAAAACAAATAAGATTTGTATACATCTTCTGCTTTACTACACAAAAGACAGACATTCCAGGGCTATTGTTCTGCTCTATTCTTCTCACTTTCATAAGTTTATCTCCTTTCTTTTCCTTGAGAATGTAATTCAGTCCTTATCTCAGTCTACTAAACACTCCACAACATTAGATCTTCCAAAATGCACAGCCCAGCAAGGTGCAGGCTACATTTATGTCCTAATATGTTTTATACCCCACCTCCTATAGACTGTAAGCTCGGTTGAGCAGGGCCCTCTTCAACCCTTCGTTTCTGTAAGTTTTCTTGTAATTGTCCTATTTATAGTCAAATCCCCCCTCTAATAATATTGTAAAGCGCTGCGGAATCTGTTGGCCCTATATAAATCGCAATAATAATAATAATAATAATAATAATAATAATAATAATAATAATAATTTAACAGCTTTGGTAAAGTGAACCTGTTGTGTGTGTAGCCCGAAAGCAACTGCGGTATAGCAGCTATCATATTTATACACATAGGACGATTGGAAGTACAGGTAGGGATAACCCACTTATCTCGGAAACTCCTTCTGGACAGAGGTTTTGAGACCAGATGAGCCCCCATAGTCTGGACCATCTTAATTGTATCATTTCTAATTGGTATGGAACTAGACACTTGCAACCGCAGACAGACTCATTCTGAGAATCTTAAAAAAAAAATTTGCTTTGCATTTTTAATTATCTTTATAATACATTAAAGACTCCTGGCACCATAACCACTACAGCCTTCTGGGGCCAGAAGTGCCTTCCCAGAGTAAATATTTAAAGTGTTTAAAATGGCTCTGTCACCAAACATTAATTTTATCTAATCGGCGTCTATATGGCTCCATGTGTCTGAATTTCAATTCTGTTTCCCGAGTGCTCTAGTTGTTCTAAAATACATTAAAAAAAAGTAGGGACTACGTTTCCTTATTTATAGCAGTCAAGCTGACAAAACTTGACAATGGGCAGAACTCCAATTTACCCACAATCCATCAGTAACAATCCCACATGACGGAAAACAGCAGGCATTATGGACACAGGGAAACAAAATGCCCGTGCTACAATATTGTAATTGGACACACCACTGCTCAAATACCAAAAAATAAATAAAAATTGCTATACCTTCACTGAAAATATTGATGAATTTAATTATGCATTTTGTTCAATGGGGGTATTTTAATTAAAATAAAGAAAAAACAAAAAAAAAGCTGCTTTAAGATTCTCTGATTGGTTAGGAGTGCTCAGCTGACGCTAAGCCCGTGAGTCAGCTCTGCATGGCAGGGATTAGCTCAGTGGAGGATCTTAAACTTCCAAGGGATGTGTCGAAAGACACTCCATTTCAATCCTCACGTAACCTTAACCCCTTATTTGTAACAGACACTCTGGTCCAAAAATTAGCCAATCTTTTTTCTTTTCTATATAAAATTCTAAAAATATAATACAATAAAGGTACTTTTTGAACTTTTAAGGTCAAAAACTTTTTTTCTGACTTTTCTACAGACTAGTACCTCCTTGGCTACTAGTCCTGTCATTTCCACCTTAAAGGGACTCTCCAGTGCCAGGAAAACATATTCGTTTCCTGGCACTGCAGGACCCTGTAGTGCCCCTCTCCCTGCCACCCCCCATCCCAAGTTGCTGAAGGGGTTAAAACCCCTTCAGTGACTTACTGGCGTCCAGCGCCAATGTCCCTCGGCGCTGGTCAGGCTCCGCCTACTCTCCTCACCCGCCAGCTGGCAGAGGAGACCTAATGCTTTACTATGGGGATTTCGGCAACGCTGGAGGTCCTTACACAGCGTGAGGACTTCCAGCGTCATATAACACACTTTTCGAGTTCTAAGAACATGGAAGTCCCTCTGGTGGCTGTCTGATAGACAGCCACTAGAGGAGGACTTAACCCTGCAAGGTAAATATTGCAATTTATGAAAACTGCAATAATTACACTTAGTGGGAGTTGGCACACAGACCACTCCAATGGGCAAAAGTGGTCTGGGTGCCTGGAGTGTCCCTTGAAAGGACAACTGTCACTTTAAAATTATTATTTTATTACCATAACTCAAGTTATGAAAGGAAATAGATTTATTTTTATGAATTATATGTAAAATAAATAAATTAGTTAACGTATCCCTACCTTTAGTATGGAACAGGATTCTTCAGCCACGTACACCCTGGTCAGACAATGTTTGCAAACTACCAGTTAGTCTTTGTGGTTTTTCCTACTCACTCCATACACAGACGTTAGGAAGACCATAGAGATTAACTGTTGGTTTTCAAACACTGTCTCACCCAAGGTGCACGTATAAGGCTGAAGGACACCATCATATACTAAAGGCATAAATTAGTTTCTCTCATTTTTGTGCATATATATTTCTTTTAAAACTTGATGAAAGGATTATTATAATTAAAATAATTTAAAGTGACTAGCTTCCATTTCAAATCGAATCAGCATGAAGCAATGATTCTCTATGGTAATAGGGATCGGGTGATGTCATCATTCCCTGCGCTTTTTTTTTTTTTTCGCTCCCCGAATTCAGATCATGTCTGTCCTTGTATCTCACTTCCACCCCAGTGCACTGATGTCACACGGTCCACAAAATGCTTCTCATTCATAACTATCTCTTAATAGAACCAACCACACACTGAAGAAGAACCATAGTTTTCACTTTACCAGCAGGGAGGGAGGCTGAGGACATCGATGGGGCAATGTGGTCTTTATAGTCACAGTGCTACTGTGTGTCACCATTATAATTATGATCAGCATTTCACTATGTGATTGGGACTACAATTAGTCCCAATCTCTACCTATATTTGTTTGGCTTGATAAGAGACACAAGACAACAATAATGCACCATATTGTTTAACTTTTCAATTATCTGTCAGATTGGAGCTCCACCCACTGTTATTCCTGTGTAAGGGCCATCTACACAGCTGTATCTCAGCTGCAGTTGTCATATAGCACTGTTTACTGTCCTGTGAATGGTTTGATAAGAAAAACAAATGCACTTCTATGGTATGGGTAAGGTTTGTGCCTGGAGTTTCCCTTTAATTATATACACGTGGCTGCATCATAACATACATACCCTTGACTGTAAAATGTAACCGCTAATGTCCAAATGCCATCTAAAACTGAACCAAATGGCTTCAACCCCCTACCCTCTGTGATGCTCATCCCAAACATCCTAAGTCGAAGCCTGCCAACCCAACACGAAGAAAACAAAATTAGCTACTCCACATGAACACAGCGATGCTGTGAGTGGTACCAGTATTATCCTCCATACCCAGGAGGCTAAACAAACACTATCATAATAATATGTATAGGTCTGTACAAACACCATCATACTGACATGTATAAGTGAGAAGAGGTAATACTAAAGTTATACCCTTTGATTGGCTTACCTGGAGGCCTGTTTGCAAATTCTGAAAGTTTCTGGCCAACGTCTAGAGTTCCTCCTTGATCTCCTGCTATTCCAGTCTGATCGCTATCATCGAGGCGAGACTCAGTAGAACTAAAATGACAGACAGGATGGCATCAGCGAATACTTCATTGAGCATGACATTTCATTAGAGATTGATTGAGCACGGACATATATTTATTTATATGCATGTCATGCTAAAACCAGTCATGAATTTAAAAAAATAAATAAATAAATAAATAAATTTCCCTCATAAAAAAATCCCCAGGACTTGCTGTTACTGCACACACACATCCTTTTTAATAAGAGCAATGGCTGAAATCTACAAGCCAATCCTAGTCCTGTTAAACTACATGAATGAGCAAAGGACTGCTGCAAATAGGTTACAGGAAATTTATAGTTCCAAAATTTAGTGCTAAATGATTAGGTTATAAAAACTGTTCCTATATTTTTAACGCATTTGTTATTTAAAGAATTAAAGTAATGGGAGGCGAAGCCTGACTGCCAAGGTGAGCAGTCACGTTTCGCTGGAGCGCCTCTAAATTTCTGAATTAAATACAAATAGTCCGTTTTTGGCTTGGCTGAGATCCCTGGCTTATGACTTATGACTCTGCTGTGGTACTTCCATGCTAGTTGAGATTCGTCTACTTGCCTATCTTTAATGCCTTAGCACCTTGGGCATGGTCGTCTGTACCAAGGAGAGGAGGTGGACAATCCTCGAACCAAAGTAGAGCAGCTGACTCCAAAATCAAGCCATCATACCCAGTTCCCCAACCCCTTCTGTGAAGGCTGCAAACTGCACATGCATGTAGGTGAAAGTGCCTTCCCTATTTTACGTGATGAGTGTACAACACATTTTATAGAAGACTGCTAGCAGTTTACATACAGTGCCGTTTCTCATATTACAAATTGCTGCTTCTATAATCCACTCTCAGACAGTGGACTCTGGATGTTCTACGCACCAGGCACTGTAGTACTGCAATGGAGTTATGGTGCTTAGAATGACCCATAAAGTCAAGTGGTGGTGAGTATTTTACAAAACCAAACAACTGGCATCATGCAAATAAAAAAAAGATTATATTTTATTATGATAATCTATCCTGCATTCTTTTTGAACTAATATAATTTTGCTATTTTGAGTCCATATTGGACATGTACCTCATCTGTTCCTCCTGCTGGTTCTTCTTCTTCCTTGGTGGCTTTTTCTTTTTTGGTTTAGCGGCACCGCTGTTCTGCTTGCTGTTGACACCGAAATGCCCAGCTGAGATGTCACTTTGCAGCAGGTTCACCAACAAAGGACTAGTCAACGTGACGTCTTTGTTGACCGGAAAGCCAGGATTCTGTCCACAAGTCATTTGATTCCCATTAGCACCTTGAGAAAACGGAGAGCCAAAAGATAACCCATGTCCTGCAAAGTGCTGGCCGGGTCCACCATTTCCTGGCATGTTCTGCATATGTTGAGCTGCCATGTTGCCAGTTTGCTGCATAGGAAGGTCCGATAGCATGGAGTTTAAATCACTGCCGGTTTGGTTGGGAGCCTCTCCAAGTGACTGCTGTAAATGTTGTCCAGGCACAATCTGCCTGAGAACATGACCTTGCATGCTCACCCCCTGTGTAGGGTTACCACTGATTGCTCCCTGCTGGGACAAGGCCTGTCCAGAGTACTGCACCATGTTGCTAGGCAAATTTGGGGTTGGTCCTCGTAAAATCTGGCTGGGTCCTGCCATCCCACCTGTCTGGTTCTGGGTATTAAATCCTTGTTTACCACCCTGCATAATCTGCTCCATTACAGAGTTTTGCGGCATTAGAGCTTGTCCTTGCGATGTCATTAATTGGTTGTGAGAAGGAATCATCTGCTTTGGAGGAGTTATCCTCTGGGGTGCTTGGCCCATGTTCTGGTTCTGAGATGTCCCCATCATCTGTCCTTGAGGCACAAGCTGTGATCGGGAGAGTACCAGTTGGCCTTGCGAATTAAGAGGAGCCTGCCCCTGAAGGCTAACCATTTGACCTTGAGAGGAAATGATTTGTTGGTGCATGCCCATAAGCTGAGATTGTTGTCCTTGCTGGCCCTGTGAGTGCATCCCACTAATGTTGACCTGGTTCACACCACTTCCACTGGCCTGTGGATTATTCATGTTGCTGTGAAGACCCATCAGATTGGTCTGCATTAGATTTGAACCTCCATGGGATGCTTGCATCTGATTGTGTGAGGAACCATTTGGTTGACCAACTGCAAGACACAAAAATAATTAAATAGGTATAATCTGTTGATTAATTTCCTATGTAGGAAACCCATACTGAAAAATATCTAAAAAAAAACATTTCTGATGTGGGTAGAAATATGAAGTTAACTACAGGTTTTGATCAATGGGTAAAACACAGAATTATCCAAACCATCTCCCTATCATTTGCAAGGTGCTACAATAAAGACCTTTTTCTAAACTTTTTTTTATACTGTGAATGCCATAAATAATAATTAAAATATCTGTAACAAAATCTGAATGTGTCCTCACCACCATTCAGAGTAAGTAGAACAAAAAGACACCATACATAATGAGTGGATAAAACCAAATTTATCAAGCTTACTGGTGGGACCATCCAAGATGGACATATTTTAACTTTGTTTTTCCGATAATCTCTGTTATCTGCCACACATCGGATATTTCCAAATTATTTACCTCTCTTTCTTCTATTGGCTTCCACAAGCCAGGCGGAGTAAGTGATTTTAGTTTCATTCACACACACGATAGCACTGCAATAACTACTCCACACACAATATTGCAAAAACACACAGAACAAGAAATGTCAATACATATCCACACAGTACCTACTCTTCATACGCAAAGACAGTACACATACACAAATCACAAAAACGTACCAAGATGTTATATCCGCAAGCTATGCAACACCTCACTACTCATCTTATTGTACTTGGTTTATATTAAGACATACAGATGTGCTCTAATGTTGGCTAATGAAACCCTAATTCCATCTTTCCGACAGAAAACACGAAAAAGATTTAAAAAACAAACAAAAAACAAAACAAGTTACCGTATTTATCGGCGTATAACAGGCACTTTTTCTCCCTGAAAATAGGGGGCAAATTATGGGTGCGTGTTATACGCCGGCCCTTTAAATGCTGCAGCCGCCTGAGCGCTCTGTCAAGAGCGGTCAGGAGGCTGCAGTTGGTTCTCACCTCCCCTGTAGCGTGGCCGAGCTGCTCTGCTGTCCGCGGTGGCCGGCCGGAGTGATAGGAAGGTGCACGCTCAGTGTGCACCTTCCTGTCAGTCCGACCGGGTACAGGAAACAAACTCCTGTTCCGCGTGGAACAGGAGTTTCTGTTTCCTGTACCCGGTCGGACTCACAGGAAGGTGCACACTGAGCGTGCACCTTCCACTATCCCCTCGGCTTGACACAGCGAACAACGAAACAGCTTCGACCCGCGCTGAAGAAATAAAAGTGGGGAAGTAAGAAAGAGGAGGGGGTAGGAAGTGGGTAAATAGAGGGAGGGGTAAGAAAAGGGGGGTAGAAGAGGGAGAGGGGAGTAGGGGAGGGAGTAAGAAAAGGGGAGTAGTAAGAAGGGGAGGGGAGTAAGAAAGGGGTAAAGGCAGGGGAGAATGAAAGAGGGGAGGAAGTAAGAAAAGCGGGGAGTAGAAAGAGGAGTAAGAAAGGAAGGGGGAAGGGGAAGTAAGAAGAGGGAGAGGGGGGAGTAAGAAAGGTGGGTAAGAAGAGGGGGAAGGGGGAGTAAGAAAGGGGGGTAAGAAGAGGGGGAGGGGGGAGTAAGAAGGGGGTAAGAAGTTCTTTATTTGAAATTTAAGGTTTTTTTTCCTGAAATTTCTTTCTTAAAATGAGGTGCGTGTTATACGCCGATAAATACGGTATATAGAATTTGTAGATTTTAGCCCTGAAAATAATTAAATACACACACACACCAATTATAAAGCAGAACAAGCAAATAAAGTACAATTTGATAAAACAAATGGTATTTATATTGAAAGGTTACAACGAAGATAAAAGAAAATAAATGGTGGACTTTATCCAGAGATGTTGCGTACCTGCTTTTTGACCACTTGCATTTACTTGCTGTTGGAGTGCTCCACCATTTACTGGTGATCCGGCCACATTTGGAGGGGTCTGACCCTGCATGAAGTTTGCATTTCCCTGTGCTGATGGGAAACCTGGAGGAAGCCGTTTGGGGACTCCTAAAACCATAACATATAAAAAAAAAATATTATGTTGGGCGGCGATTAAATAATTCAAACAGCAGAGTGGTGAAATTTGGAAAATGCCATTTGACTGAAGATGCACACATCGCCAACTAGGTAAACTAATGGAAAGGGAGGTACAAGTGTGGTGGGATATAGCAGCCTTAGACTTCTATGTTAACAACACTATAGTACCGAGGGGATTAAGACTGTTTAAAAGATCAACATATAAGCTTCATGACCTAACACTACTTAAAAAATGGGACCAACTGCTCAACAAAGGATCCTTATTATTAATGGTATTTCTCATTAATGAAAAAAAGAAGGACCTAACCCAATTAGATCAAGAGATAACAGAACTGAAAACATCCATTCGCCCCCTAGTGGAGAATGGGGAATTTATGGAACTCTTAGAAAAAATTGAAAAAAAGAGTAAAAGATATACAATAAAAGATAGGTGAGGGCACACTACATAAAATAACACTTATGGTTACCCTTGAATGTAAAATCTACTCCGTGCTTGATTCACTCCTGTATATAAAAACAGGAAAAAACACACATAGGGTAATGACGTAAAAACCTTAATATTTTAAAAAATAAATAAGGTTTCACTCACATGGTCATGAGCCACTTAAAATAAGCTGGCTCAGACTAAAAGCGTAGAAAATATCTGTCCGTGGTACTTCACACACCAGGCTGTTCCCCCTTCGTTGTCTTATTAGTAACTTAAAATATTCCAGGATGCAAGGAATAAAATAAAACTTTATTGGACACACTATAATTTTGGGGTAAAAACAAAACACTGGGTACAATATAGTAAAAGTCCACTATTTTAAGTTACTAATAAGACAACGAAGGGGGAACAGCCTGGTGTGTGAAGTACCACGGACAGATATTTTCTACGCTTTTAGTCTGAGCCAGCTTATTTTAAGTGGCTCATGACCATGTGAGTGAAACCTTATTTTTTAAAATTTTAAGGTTTTTATGTTATTACCCTATGTGTGTTTTTTCCTGTTTTTATATTTTATATACAGGAGTGAATCAAGCACGGAGTAGATTTTACATTCAAGGGTAACCATAAGTGTTATTTTATGTAGTGTGCCCTCACCTATCTTTTATTGTATACTGGTTATTTGTATGTGTTTTGAGTGACGCACATAAGGTGATAGGAGCACCTATTTTATTTTTGTTTATTTTATTATATTAGCCTTATATTCTATTTATCAAAGAGTAAAAGATATTGAGCTGACCATCAGGGAAAATAAAAGAAAGAAAATCATAAGAGACCAGGCTGATTACAAAACACAAACCCAGAGGAACTGGAAAAAAGACCATAGACAGAGATTTGATTCCCCTAAAAGGTATGGAACAGAATTTAGACGTCAACGACATATGCCATATAAGAACCCCCACAAAAGGATACTATGACGGATTGGACGCACAAAAGAGTAGCCGACAATAGGAAACAAGGATATAAAGGATATAAGCAATATCCATCTTACCATTCCACAATTGAGAGATATAATGAACAGGATAGGTATAGACTCCCACAACAAATACATATCGAAATAGGAACTGGCAAACATCTGAAAAAACACACCAATATACCCCAGATGGTAATGCTCTCCCTACGGACCATAAAAGGACTGAATCTAACAACACTACCAACAAAGGTAGAAGAACCAACCCACACAATTCGGAGGTACTTATAGAAAATGATTTTTTAGTCAATCAGGGGAGGATTCCCCCCAAACAATTCATGATGGAGGATTACAGGTCTCCATATGTGAGGAAAAAAAGATCAATGAGAGAAATAGAGGAAGACGCAGACCAACAAGAAGACCCAATTCAACAGAAAAGGAGGAAATAAACATTTTTAATTTGTCTACTAGAACACTTAATCCAGATGAAATATCCCTTTTGAAAAAAGGTCTCAAGTTCGCACCTACCTGTAAAAGCTCTAATTTCAATGCATGTATAGACCTAAAGAAGTTCATAAGGAAAATATCCATGAAAAAAATTTTTGTAGATAAAGACAAGATGCAACCGGTTCTAACACAAGGCTATACCCACAGAGAACTACACCCCACTTCCACGTTCTACCCACAACATGTCAAGACTGACTCAATCAAAGTATTTGAGAAGATGGTGGAACATGACTTTAGAAAGAAAATTACCAATAAGTTTGAGAATGACAACCTCACAAAAAGAGAGGCACTCACTCAAACAACTCATGAAATTGGAAAATATAACAATTAAAGCAGCCGTCAAAGGGGGTGGACTAGTGTTCCTCAATACAGAGGACTATAGGGAAGAGAACCTAAGGTTACTAGGGGATACTTCCACCTATCTTCCATTGGAACAAGATCCTACCCCACATTTCAAAGAAAAACTCGTAGAAATACTTGATCGAGGTAAATATAGAGGGATTATTAACGATAGAGAATTCAAATATTTACAGAAGAAATTTCCAAGAATACCTATCTTCTATCACCTACCCAAGATTCATAAAAGGTTGGCCAAACCACCAGGAAGGCCAATCATTTCTGGAATTGGATCCCTCACCGCAAATCTCTCAGAGTATGTAGATCAGTACTTGCAAAGGATGGTACCATGTCTTAAATCATACCTAAGGGACTCTACACAAACTTTAAACCTCTTATCTGATTTTAATTGGACTGAAGGTATGCTTTTAGTTACAGCAGATGTCACCTCATTGTATACGGTGATAGAGCACTTACAGGACTGCGAGGCAATACAATACTCTTTGGCGGTATACTCAGAGTAAAAAAAACGACCAAATTGATTTTTTTAATCCAATGCATCGCGTTCATTCTTACCCACAATTATTTGCGATGAACAATTTTATCTACAAATTGAGGGAAACGCCATGGGGACTCGTTTTGCGCCAAGTTATGCGAATTTATTTATGGGCAAATGGGAAGAAGAATTTATATGGAACCATTGCCCATTTGGCGCAAACCTGTCCCTTTGGCGGAGATATATCGATGATTGTTTTTTTATCTGGAAGGGAGACCTGGCATCTCTTGAGGCATTTAAGATCTACCTCAATACAAACCCATACAACCTCAAGTTTATTTTTAACCACTCATATGAACAAATTGAATTTTTAGACCTTAACATCTACATTGAAGAGAATGTGATACAGACCAAGACTTTTAAAAAACAGTAGATTGTAATAGTTTTATCCCCTTTAATAGTCACTGTAATGGACCGTTTTGCACAAAAGGGGTAAAAACCGTTTAGGCGATCAGCCCCCTTTCCAGAGATGCAGGCACAGCTACTGCAGAACACCAAACACACGAACCGCCAATAAGTGAATGTTCCAAACTCCCGAACGGCATCCAATATAGCACTCCAAACAGACGAACAGGAACCATACGAATTGCTGCTACCAAACGAATAGGAAAAGCATCCAAGCGGCTTACACTCCTAGCAATCAGTCTCTATCAGTATACAGTAAATCCCCCCCAAAGACGAGACAAGGCTCCGTGTTGAGGGTCAAGCAGTGGTCTGTTTAATGAGGGCTACCTGCCCAATATTTATGCAGGTCTCCCACCTGGTGGACACTCCCCTAGTGGACCAAATGGGAGACTGTGACAAGGGACAGACAAGCAGACAAATAGGACACACAGTCACAGTATATTCCCACAATGCATCCTGGCTTCCTCCCCTCTGCCCTGGGAGATAATTAAGAAGTAATTCAATTATCTCCCAAGACAAAGGCAAATCTCCATTATGCACATGGGGACACTAAAACAAGCATTACTGTTAAAATACACCAGGTAAGACACATTACATTATAACTATACATTTAACATATCCCCAGATAGCTCAGGTCTGAGCGCACATTATTAAGTGAATGGCGCTCAGACCACACAAATACAGTTTAATCGCCATGGAGCCAAAGTCTTTACAGTCAGTTTCATACGAATGGGCTCCATGGGATTCCTATCTGGGGTATAACACATTCAAACAAAACTACAGAACACCGGGCCGTTCGTGCACTTCCACCGAACAAGAAGGGAGGTCGGCGGCTTCAGCGGTGTTCGCGCAAAACTGTGTCCGATTTTAGTACCATGAAAATAGAGACGAACACCGCTGTGCATTCGTATGTTAAAAATGGCCGCGACCTCGTGTTCGGGATACAAATGGCGGCCACCCAGCATTAGTCAATTAAGCTGCGGTTAACCGCAGCTTCAGGGAGGTTAATTGCCGGCACACTCCAGCTCCCAGGTGGTCTATTCATTCGTGCGGTTGTTCGGTAGATTGAATCTACTGAACAACCGGCAGAAAAGCACGAATACAGCTTTTCTGCAGGCGAAACAAAGTCTTTTAACAGGGGGCCATAATCCAGAGGCAGCAGGCGAGCAACCAGGCTTCTCCAATGCAATGTGGCGAGATTGGTCTCGTCACAGTCACCATAAACCAACCTGGCTTAAGAACATTCCACATAATCAATTTAGGAGGATTAGAAGAAACTGCTCGAACCTGAAAGTACCGTATTTTTCGCTCCATAAGACGCACTTTTTTTCCCCTCAAAAGTGAGGGGAAATGTCTGTGCGTCTTATGGAGCGAATGTGAAGATTTTCTTACCTGTCTTGGAGCGTGGGCCGGCTTCACAGCACGCTCCGCGGTCCAGGAACTTCTATTTCAGGTTCCGGTTTCCGGCGGGACTGAAAGGAAGTGCACACTCTGTGTGCACACTTCCTTTCAGTCCCGCCGGAAACCGGAACCTGAAACAGAAGTTCCTGGACCGCGGAGCGCGCTGTGAAGCCGGCCCACGCTCCAAGACAGGTAAGTAATTATGGGAGAAAGGGGAGGGGGAGACACTATGGGAGAAAGGGGAGGGGGAGACACTATGGGAGAAAGGGGAGGGGGAGACACTATGGGAGAAAGGGGAGGGGGAGACACTATGGGAGAAAGGGGAGGGGGAGACACTATGGGAGAAAGGGGAGGGGGAGACACTATGGGAGAAAGGGGAGGGGGAGACACTATGGGAGAAAGGGGAGGGGGAGACACTATGGGACAAGGGCAGGGGGAGACACTATGGGACAAGGGCAGGGGGAGACACTATGGGACAAGGGCAGGGGGAGACACTATGGGACAAGGGCAGGGGGAGACACTATGGGACAAGGGGAGGGGGAGACACTATGGGAGGGAAAGTGCACTATGGGACAATGGGAGGGGGGAACACTATGGGATCAGGGAAAGTGCACAATGGGAGGGGGGGACACTATGGGATCAGAACACTAATGGACAAGGGGAGGAGGGGTTAAAGAACACTATGGGACAGGGTAGGAGGGGTTAACAATCACTATGGGACAGGGTAGGAGGGGTTAACAATCACTATGGGACAGAGGAAAGGGGGTTAAAGATCATTATGGGACAGGGGAGAAAAAAAAAATATTCTGAACAAACTGTCCCATGGTAAGAAACACTATGGAACAGTTTGTTCAGAATATTTTTTTTCTGGGTTTCCTCCTCTAAAAACTAGGTGCGTCTTATGGTGAGGTGCGTCTTATGGAGCGAAAAATACGGTATATGGTCAGTGAAAGATCCATTGAAGAGCTGTCATTGTGAGAAAAAAAGCAAACTGGCCAGTTTAGAAGAACTGTGTCCTATACTAAGGGATGTGATTAAATCTAAACAATTGCAACTAAATTTGTGGTGTCCCAATACAGAATACGGGATACAGAAAAGAAGAGGGGAATGGGAGAAACATAAATCATATGTTACTCTGTCATTTTCCTGACCACAGTCCGGTACATTTCTACCGCCGACATATTTTATATAATACAACAGTAACATAAACACATAATATATAGTAGAATACAATAAGCAAAGCAGTAGCCCATAGTATAAAACCCCACTATAAAGGGGGCGGGGCCTGACTGCCAAGCTGGATCAAAGCAAACCTCAGCAGTTCCCACTGCACACAGCGCATAAAGCAATCTTTTACAGCCCAAACAGCGATTAATCAAGGCAGACAGGGCACCAATCAAGAGGTGACATCGAGCTGAGTGAGATGAAACCACCCAAGCGACACTTGGTGCAATGCTCACCCGACAAGAGCGTGAGGCCTACCAGCATGGCAGGCGCAGGAGAGACGGCCGCTTTCCTGCCGCCACACCAGACCATATATCGGCACAAGTGCTCTCGCCCCCCTCTGGACCAGTGGGGGTTATCCCGGTCTACCCTCACGAAGAGATCACTCATCACCAAACTGATATAGGACACAAAGCTGGCAGAAAAGCACCGCGTGGCCTGACCAAGATGGTCGGCAGCCCTGCTAATCATACAGAATAACAGACACCCATGGAATGGGCAGCGGCCTTCAAGAAAAAATTTTTAGCTCATCTGCAGGCGATTCTGGGGACACCTGGAGAACAAGTGACAGCCGCTGACACCAGCACCGGCCAGCAACAAGATCAAAGCACCCAAGGCACGACGGCCAGGCAGAGCTCAGCCCACAGCAAGGTGCAAGGCTGAGACACAGCTGGGCAAAACACACATCAGAACCACATATTGCCAGCCTGTTGGCCCACCTGGGAAAGGAGCCGCATGAGGCGCTACCCCTACACACCATTCACACCTGTGGAAGAAAGCCTGCAAAAGCAACAAAGTGCAAACCTGCGCAACCCCACACCGGGGAAGGACTTGGCAACTCGTCAATGGGAGCTGTATCTTGAGACATTCTAGAAACTAATTAATGAATTGGATTTAGTAGGGGCGTACGAGAAAATGACACAAAAGGGCGGGGGCAGGAGGGGTTCCTCAGGTGAACTGGACTGTAAAGCTATTGCTGAAGCGAAAAACTTAACTTTGACTAGTGACAGTTGAGGCCCTACTAGTGCCAAGTTGCGGTGAGAGGCTCTATCTATGATTTGGCCGAGGTAAGTGTGTTGCCACAGATGTGGTGGCGGGATGTTGGCCTATCGATGACATTTAAGAGATTTAAAAGTGGCCATGGAAAATGGGGCCCTGACTACGGCCCTGTAGAAGAGCGAAAGAGGCGATTTGGACGTGGGGCCGTACCTCCATGTTGAGGTGGGAGATGGCCTTGTTGGGCCTGTAAATGCCTCGGTGAGCTAGATCTGGAGCCCAGACCCTGTGAGACAGTTCACGTACCATCTATAGGATAAATTGGCAAATTATGTAATGGGTGGATACTAACCTTGATAGTGGTTGTACCCAGGAACTTAAACCTTCAAGTATTTTTAGAAGAGAGGCACAGTGGTTGGTGATATTGTAGAAGAAGCCTAAGGGTTTGAGACAGATGTAGTTCTGTGTGAGCGTGGCGTATGAGCGCAACATGAGCTCCTGGGGGGTCTGAACAAGTGATACGAGACAGAGTGACAAGTGTAGAGTGAAGGCTGTCTGAAGCCTTGACAAACAGCAACTGAAGTGAAATAAATACTAAACCTGGACAAGAACCATTTTTTTCAGTTTAGAAGAGGTACAGAGGTTGGTGATATTGTAGAAGAAACCTAAGGGTTTGAGACAGATGTAGATCTGTATGAGCGTGACGTATAAGCGCAGCGTGAGTTCCTGGGGGGTCTGAACGAGTGATTTGATACAGAGTGACAAGTGTAAAGTGATGGCTGCCTGAGGCCTTGACAAAACAGAAACTGAAGTAAAATAAATACTATACCTGGATTAAAGAACAAGAACCAGGGTTTTTGCAATTTAGCCGTAATATATGACAAAAAGGCGATCTGTGGATATCAAAGAAATTATTATTATTATTTTTATTTTTTTTAACAGAGCTAAGATTAACTTGCACATAAAGGAATGGTATAATATTGTGTAATTAGTAATTTCACGGTAAACATCCAAGTAAGTAAGATTGCAGCTGCTGCAAGAGTTTAGTGCAGGCAAGCTACATGTAAGACATAAAGAACCAGGCAATACCATAAAAAACCACTAGGTGGCGATAACAGCCCACTAAACTTGGCCTGTGAAACTGACACAAGAGAAACAGTAATGGAAAGCATGAATGAAAGTTTACAACCAATATGCCGTGCACACTATAGTAAATTATGGCATCCTTTATATATACAGTATAGTAGCATAGCCTCTGCTATAACAGCAGAGGCTAACCCAATGCGGATTTACATGCCCCTATTTACAAGTGTATAGTTTTTTGATTGAGGGTAGTAACGTACCGCGAACCTCCGAGTCCGTGGGGGGGAAGGGGGTGTAGGACCCCCCCGGAAAGATATACAAAAAATCGACCGCCTAGATGCCGTAGTGTGGGGACCGTGGGTGGTCCCCGGAAAAGATCACCGCCATGTGCGTTCCGGCCCCCCGATAAGACCACAGAGCGGCGTGGAGGGGCCCGGAATGTACCGTAAGTATGACTCATGGTTTAGCAGCAAGGAAGCCGGACGGAGGATTCTGCCGGAGACTGCAGCTGACAGACAGGACGCCCAGACCGGACGTCAAGCAAACCGGAAGTTGATCAGGAACACTTGAACTTGAACGTCAGAGGTGAGTAGGGGTTAGGAGTTTAAGTAGGGGACTTACTCCTCCCACACATTCAGGCCTAATGGCCTTTCTACATATGTAAATATATATATATATACACACACACACACACACAAATACATATATATGCACACACACACACACACACACATATGATATGTGTGTATATAATATGCGTGTGTGTGTATGTATACACACACACTTTTATTTCCTATATATGTATAATATATTATAATTAAAGCATTTTATAATATATTATACTTATATATTATTATTATTATTATGATATTTATAGAAACACATCCAAGTACAGCGCTTTTACAATAGTAGGCAAAACAAACATATAATTGCAACAAAACAAGGTAGACACACAGAAACAAGAAATTTAAAGAGCCCTACTCAGCAAACACAAAAGTAAAGTAAGCAACACAAAAAACCAAGAATAATATGCAAAACAGCAACGAATTTAGAACGAAATCCAGTAGAAACTATGCGGAATTTAGGCCAATACGCTTTTAGCAAAAGAAAAAGTAGAGTTTTAACAAAATTTTAAAAGTAGAACTGGTGAAACTCCTACTTACGAAAACATTTCCAAAGTAGGTACGCCCGAAAATGCTGAAAGCGAAACGCATCCGAAAGTAGAAATACGAACGAAATAGCGTAAATGCCCTTGAAATATCCCCTAAACAAAACAAGAAATTACCTGCAAAGTAATATTTAAAAGCCAATACAAGCTTAGAGTCATGTCTACAAATGCTCGCAGTTTAGGGAATAAGATCCATGAACTTGTGGCAATAATGGCAACTGATAGTATAGATTTAGTCGCTGTTACTGAGACATGGTATAATGAGAAAAATGACTGGGACATAGCAATACCAGGGTACTCTTTATATAGAAAAGATAGGGAAGGCAAGAAAGGGGGAGGGGTGGCCTTGTATGTGAAGGATAACATAAAATCTAGCCAAATGAAAGTTAGTGAGGCAAACATAGAGTCCATTTGGGTTACGTTAGAATTTGGTAATCACACAGTAACTCGTGTAGGTGTGATTTATAGGCCCCCAGGACAAATTGAAGAGTTAGATAGTCTACTAGTTGAGGAAATAGCTAAAATGACAATGAAGGGGGAAGTTATCATCATGGGTGACTTTAATCTCCCTGATGTAAATTGGAAAACAAAATTAGCTACTTGTGCCAGGAGCACACATATTCTAAACTCCCTACTGGGATTGTCTCTAAAACAAGTTGTTGAGGAGCCAACTCGTAAAGAAGCCATACTAGATTTAGTGTTAACAAATGGAGATTTGGTATCAGATGTTACTGTAGGTGAAAGTTTAGGATCCAGTGATCATCAGTCAGTGTAGTTTAATATAAGAACAGTGACTGAGTCACACCACACAAAAACAAAAGTTTTAGACTTTAGAAAAACAGACTTTTCTAAAATTAGAATATGTGTAGAAGAGTCATTATCAGACTGGAGCAATTTAAATGGAGTCCAAGAGAAATGGGATTATTTAAAAGTTGCACTATTGAAGGCAACAGAAAATTTCATTAGGCTTGTCAGTAAAAGCAAAAAATTCAAGAAACCACTGTGGTACTCCACAGATGTGGCCAAAATAGTTAAAAACAAAAAGTTAGCATTTAGGAATTATAAAAAAAAACAGAGTGAGTGTCAGGGTACCTGTTGGTGATGTATCCAGGGAGGACATCCTCTCTGCTTAGGGGCTCCCTGCCCCTAGCATTTCGGCATATTCCGGCCGTTTTCGCGCCGGCCGCGCTAGCTCCTCCCCCTTTTATGACGCGACGGCTAGCGTCGACGTCATGACGTCGGCATTTGCATAAAGTGCCGGGAACCGCTATTCCGGACCTTTTTGGGGGCGTGGTCTCTATTTGGGTAACAGGGTATTTAAAGGAAACCTTTACTGCTGCTCATTGCCCTGTCGTGGTTCTAGCTTGCTAGTCACTCAGCGCGTTCTTTATCTTGTGTTTCCGGTTTTGCCCCTTGCTTGTCTTTTGTCCTGTTGTCCTCTCCTCTCCTTTGACTCGGCTTGTATCTCGCTTACCTGTCCTCCGGCTCCCTTGACCTCGGCTTACCTTTTGACTATTCTTGCTTTGTCCTTACGTTAGTCCGGCCATTCTAAGGTCGGTATACGTACCTCCTTCTGTGCGCACTCTGCGTATTGGATCCCTGTCAGTTTCCTGACATTACGACAGGGCCATGATGGATCCTGCAGGTGCTAGTCCTCCTGACCCCAGATTTGAGGCCATGGACCATAGAATGGACCAAATGGCTTTAGCGTTACAAACTTTGTTAACACGCTCCAGTACCCAGTCTGAAGAAATACGTTCCACTGCTAGCCACTCGCTAAGTACCGGTTTGGAAGTAGCCACTGTAGGCGCATCTTCCCATGTCACGTCACCATTACGATATGGGGGTTCGCCTGAGGCTTGTCGTGGTTTTTTAAACCAGATAAGCATACATTTCGAACTACAACCCCGGGCTTACCCCACTGACAGGGCTAAGGTAGGCTTTATTATAACCCTGCTAATAGATAAAGCACTTAGATGGGCCAATCCCCTTTGGGAGAATGACAATCCTTTTACTCTACAACTACACTGCGTTTGTCACGGCTTTTAGAAGAACCTTTGACCCCCCAGGGAGGAAGATTAATGCGGCCAGATCCCTGTTACGCCTTAAACAACAGGATAGGACCCTTGTAGAATATGCTCTAGAGTTTAGATCATTGGCAGCAGAAGTGAAATGGAACGAAGCTTTTATGGATGTCTTCTTGAATGGGTTGTCTGATGAAATTCTAGATGAAATTGCCACAAGAGAACTTCCGGAAAATTTAGAGGATTTAGTATCCTTCATTTCCAGAATAGATGAACGCATGAGACAGAGGCAGAACACTCGGGAAAAAGTTACTAGACTTCCTGTAAGACTCGCTCCCTCATTTCAGAACCCTGACTCCTATAATCCTACTCCACCAGAACCTATGCAAATAGGTAATACTCGCTTATCTGAGGCTGAGCGACAGTACAGAAGAAGGGAGGGTCTCTGCTTATACTGCGGGCGGAGAGGTCACCTACGTCTTAGTTGCCCTAATCGTCCGGGAAACGCTTGCACCTAAGTTCCCTTAGAGGACGGGCCTTGGGTGTTTCATTACTGTCCTCTATGCATAATAAAAAAGACCATAGGCTTCTGATTCCTGTCTCTCTAGCTTGGGAAAAGGGGTTTATTACTACGATGGCATTATTAGATTCTGGAGCAGCAGAAAGCTTTATAGACCAAACTTTTGCTAATAAGCATTGTATCCCATTCCAATTGAGAGATACACCCTTGGCCGTTGAGGCCATAGATGGTAGACCTTTATCTGAACCAGTAATATCCCATGAGACCGAACCCGTTAAGCTTACTGTTGGTATTTTCCACGAGGAGTTGATTTCCCTTCTGTTAATTTCCTCCCCGGCAGTCCCAGTGGTACTAGGATATTCTTGGCTCAAGAGACACAACCCTCAGATTGACTGGGAGGGTGGAGAAATCGTGTCTTGGGGTATGGGTTGTAGGAAAGAATGTCTGCAGAGTGTTACTTCTGTTTGCCCCATAAACTCTTATGTTAACACTTCTCAATCCACAGACGTTCAG